CTGTTGGCATCCATGACTGAGGTGTTGAAAGCCGACTGGAAAACTGTGTCAGTTCTCTCGTTAAATTTGATCAGACTGACCGCCTACGAACGCACACTCGTTTGATGGTTGGGTGTCGATAATACGACTGTTGTTGCCATGACTGTGAACCAATGGACTTCGTCGTGTTTGCAGCTGATCCGCATTGAGGTCAGGGTTGATACTGAAATTCATGCATGTGTGATTACGGGTTAGTGGTTGACATGACTGTTATCTAGTTTGACAGTAAGTTTGCGCGCACGTGTCGATCGATAATGTAAGATCAGTGTTCGAACACCTCAGATGATAACAGCTATTCACCATAGCAATCATGATATAATATACAGGTGGCCTCGGTGTAAGGATCCCGGCCGTCCCAAATAACCGAACGCCACATCCTTTGGTCAAACGAAGGCATGCCCTGATTGGTCAGATTGCCAACCAATCCTGATCGAGCATCTTTGTCTCGACACACCTCGGCTACTCACGGTGATTCTAGCACGACCTTGTGGAACACTCTGTGATTACCCTATAAATACAAATGTAATGAGTCTCCTTTTATCCCCAACAAGGGCTGTGTAGCTACCGTGCGTTTTGATATACCATAGTGGGCGGAGCAGGTAACCAAGTGAGCGATACAGATTTGCATGACCGCACATCAAGTTACAACACCCGGGTATCCGGCTGATTCACTGTCCTGTTATTTCGCTTTCCTTCGAATGTAGCGCTTGTAGCCGTTGGTCAGTAGTTCAGCTCCTGATCAACTGACTGGGATTCACTTCACATCCCGTAAGGTGCTGAGATCTCGCTTTGCATGACGCTGGTCGTGATTGAACTCACGTTCACGTGACTGTTGTATGAATAATCCTCCTACTGTCCGGTCCAATTATTTCGGCTAATCCACATCAAAGAAGGGTAGCCACGGGCCCAACGCACGCTTTCGTTTGATTGACCGTGTTGAGGTCTGAACCCCAAACATCCGATATGAGAGACCAAACTGTCACTTTTAATCCGTGCTGCACGCACGTGAAATTCCACCTCTGAACAGACAAACGAATCAGTGCGAAACTTGAGTCCAATCCTTCCCTGCTCTGGTGTGAACTCCCCAGGATAATTGAACCAGGACAGAAGGGGAGCTGTTCATACGATAGTGATGTGAACTTGATTTCCAGGCAGTCGAACTGTTGATCAGCTGATTTTTCTGTACTGATGGGTATGTAACATGTCACGTGACCTGACCTACACATATCCGTAGTGGATAACCTCATCAGGTGTACTTTTGTTTGTTGCGTCAGTACCCGTACTGTAGGGTACCAAGGCCAGTTCTTACTTTGTCCACTGAACTAGGCAGGTTAGTTCCTGGCTTCTTATCGTAAATCGAGTCGCCGCGATTGGTTCCTTCTTAGAGACTGCAGCATGTGCTTGGGTGATTGAGCTGTTTTGAGCTGCTCCAAATCCGACCCATGTTACCCAGGGGATCATGACCTCACGAGGAATCGTCTACCGGTCAATAAAGAACTTCTTCTGAAGGATATTCTTCCTTTCACTGATAGACATCTTCGGCCTCATCACACTTGATCACCACAAAGATCTCATCTACATGACTCCAAAGTACTCTCAATCGGTGATTGTAACCTAACGGACACCTGCAGTTCCAGGTCTTCCGAATAAATATTGATCGAAACCGGGGATAGTGCATGTCACATTGCAAACATCTGTTCTTGATGGTAAACTACCAAGTCGGAAACGAGATGGTCGGGATTCAAGTGTCTTTTCATGACCACAACTGGTCGTTTCTCTCAGTTGTCGGGACATCAAACTGGTGCATTTAGTAGACGAAATCTCATACACACCCTCGTTCTGGGGAAAAGTAACCATTCTCAGTTTTTCCTCGTTTATTTTCGCTTGCTTGCCTGAGCACAGAAACGCATGTCTGAGCTGGCCGATTGTGGATTCGGCTCAGCCATTGAAACCAACTCGGATGTCCGGACAGCAAAGGGACCTCCGATTAGCTCGCGGCTGATTGGAAGTCCTGGTAAGTCTGTCTGTCCATATGTCTGCCGGTCATCTTGGCATCGCACACGCTACTAATACTCTGGAGTTTATCCCATTGTTCCAGCACTTACCGGTCTGACACTAACAGGACATCAGCATTCGAGAAGCTGAATGGCTCAGAAATAAGCTGTCAGTGCCATCCACACACAATGCGCAACAGATCACTATCCACACGTTGCTCGACTTAGCGTAGACTGTCGAAGCCACCAGAAGTGCCTGCTCTGTTCTTCTGCTGTAAAGTAATAACCATATCACCCACACAACTGCGTACTGATGATGTCTCCTCGTATGGTGACGAAATGTTAGCAAGCTCTACGACCAGATCAACAGCCACATGATCAACATCCAGACACACGACGCACTGTTCCTTGTCCCGAGTGGGAAGTGAAGTGAACACATGAACAGGCGATATGGTCTCGTTGACTGGAAGAACGACTGAACTTTGAGGACTACAATCATTGGCAAATCATTTTGGTCTGGCTTTCACGAGAGCCTCAACTGAATCTCTCGTTTATGATATTCTTCAACTGAATATGCTGCACACAGGCCGTCTCATGTTTCAGTTGGCGCGATATTCGAGATGTAGTATATTTTCATAAAGGAGACTACCCACAAGGTTGCTGAAAACTCTTCGACAGCCCATGACCGGTTTCGCCTTTAGTAGGGCTCATCAGGTAGCCGCAGTCCTTGAGTTTCCGTGTCAACCTTGTGTTCTGCTCGAACCCAAATTGGACTGTTTTCGAGAAATGCACTCATTTGCAAACCAAATTGAATCGCGGGTTCAATATCCACTGGGGTTTCGTGAGATGCGTACTGCTGATGCTTCCGAATAAGGATGAAATAGTTGCACAGAGTGCTTCCAAGTCCTTCAGAATAGACTGGCTTCACTGACTGGACAAAAAATTCCGTGGTGTTCCCGCTAATTGTGCCCGTCAGTAACAATCGCTTGACCAATTCCGAAACACCCGCTCGTGTACATCGAGCTGTCTTAAAAGCCCAACGTGACTCCATCCCAAAAGTAAACCTCACATTTGTCGTCAAAGTCGTATGAATTCCCCAACCAATGTGGTTGACGTCTAGATGGCTGATTTCAAAATGCCAGCAAACAATCCACATATATTATATAGGTGAAAACATATACGCACCATGAGTGACACTTGTTCAGTCGACATTGACTATCAAACAGGTGCTGCACGATCTTTTGCGACTAGCCACCATTTTCACGGCCATGGCCTGATCACAACCCACCTTCCAAAACACGTCTCCCTGACGGTGTGATATCGGAATTTCTGTTTGTTGAGGCTGACGATTGCGACCACCTTGACTAGCAGCCTCTTTACCCCAGCTCGTGGAANTCCCTTGAGACTGTGGACGTCCGATAGATAACGGCGTTCGGAATCGACGTGTTGTCCTTTGATTCTATACAAATACCATTCGTATTTGTGCAGGAATAACTGTCATCGAATTCAGCTCCGTGTTTGGGAGACGACTGCTCCGCAAGTATGGAATATGAGTTATTCTGGAGGTTATCGGAGCAACTAACAGAACACTCAGCCGTATCTCCCACAGAGGAAGGTGGGGGATTCAAGAGGTTCAAAACGGGACTTGAACGTGTGGTCTCGGTTATGTCATACAGCTTATCACTGCACAATTCGGTGCTTTTACCATCGGGTCCTGTGATATCGGGCGAAATCTGGGTAAGTTCATATTCCTTCTCTAGGGTTTCTAACTGCTCGATGGTGTGTGCAGCCAGAGAGTCGTTATCAGGTGTTGCACATATGACCGTATTGTCGTTTTGGGAAGTATCAGGTGTGTGGGAAGAACGGAAAGGATTGGCATCCTCGACAGGTGTCTCTGCGGACGGGCACTGTGAAGCAATCACAGCATCGTCCGGTTGGATTTGTTCGGAACGGCTTGCAAAACACGAGAGGCTATGGACAGCAGTTGTCGACGTATGACATGTGGTAATGTCGATATGTGATGAGACAGATGACAAGGGAGCGACCAGAGGTGGCAGTGAAACACCACGATCCTCGTTAGATTCAGACAAAATGGGCGGTGCAATATTCTGAACCGAGAAGAATAACGCTGGGCGATTCCTGCCTCCGGTCGATTCTGGGTTCTCCTTGGCAAACAAAGCTGGTGTCAATGTGACCCCGACACCAATCGATGATTTTTCAGAAGCTGCTTTCTCACAGTTACCTGTGTCCTCATCCAAATGAGCCAGTTCTTCTGTCCTCTCAACTTCAGCTTGATAATCAGCTACTTTAGAGCCGGTTTTATCGGAAGTCGCTGATTCACTGTCACCGTCAGCGACATACTCAGAATGGTCGCTAAACTTCTCGCTGGATTGGCTATCCTCCTCGGCCTCCTCCTCAGAACTCGTGTCGGATTCTGCTTTGTCCGGGCGGAAACGCTTCCATTTAGGTATCTGCAGAGAATCATCAGTCAAGCTACTTCGCTTTGTTGCGCTACGAAGTTGTCTGGTCGAAACTTCCGATCCACTAGTCAATGGGGGTCGAGGCGTCGGAAGTGCGGTTGGTCTAGTTGGCTCAGGCTTCGCTTTTTCCGGATGAACTTCTCTAATGTGTGCCTCCAACACACCCGGCCTACGTTGCGACATTGCAATCGAACAGTAGGGACATATCTGTGGACGGAAGGAAAACAAAGAGGATATTGCAAACCAGACGACCTGAAGAGCCACACGTAGTATAGCAGAATAGGGGAAGCACAGTTCACTGTTCTGCCAAGTCAATGTGTACCACGCACAGGATCTTGAAGGTACCGGTACTGACAATGAATTCAAGGTAGAAGTCGGTAAGACCGTCGACAGTACCCGTCGCAATAGGAACAATCAAATAAACGAGGAAGTCATTATGAACATCACTCATGGTGTAGTTGTCTAATTCTGGTGTGTAAAAATTATATTGATACTCGCTATACTACTTGTTTTGTTGTTAGTCAAGCAGTGTAGAGACTAATCATACTACTGTTCAGCAGTGGCCGAGCAGTAATGTGCTCAGTTACTGGCTTTGCAACGCTGATGATTGCCAACAAGGATGAAACTGCCATATAATGCTTCAAGGCTTTGCGGCATAGAATGGCCCCAATGACAGAAAAAAGTCTCAATTAAGGACTAACCGCTATTTGTCATTCCGTGGCAAAAGTTCATTGCAGTTTGGCACCGAAAGGGCGCTACGGCGGAATGATTTTTTCTAAATATTTTATGAAGTATTATTTATAACGCGAAACCGGACAGGTATTCATGTGGTCACTTTTGGCATAGTTTACCCCTGTGACTCAGCAACCAGAGTTGTTTTGAACCAACATCCTACTGGTCATTTGGTAGTCTGATTCGTTGGTAACACTTACTTATGTTCTGTAGGATCTACCTCGGGACGTTAGCATCAGGCTAGTTGTGTAGTGCGACACGAAACGCATGAGAGTCGCGTGGTTGTTTTGGCTTTCTATGAGTTCTTCCGCGGAATAGTCATCAGAAGATGCAAAGCCGTGGTTTCCCCTTCCATTTGTTTCCGCGAATGCAACTCCACCTAAATGGACCATTTTGGCCCGCTTCCGAGAACTTTACCGCCAATTAGAGGGATAAAATGCCAGAAATACCCTAAAACAGAATTAGAAAATTCGAGCATTTGCGCTCTTATTACTGAACAGCAAGGACTATTGTTTTTTCAACAGCCTTGCAGTGAGCACACTATCTATCGTCGACGTTGGTGTTTGTTCAATTATGGTGGAACGGGTTCAAGTTTACTGGCTACCTCCGGTGTGTGTTCGTGATACCGCCTAATGGGCTTGATAGCTGAACTTTCAGCACACAGAGTTAATCCCATGGCTTGTGTATACTATGGAAGGCAGTCAGATCTCCCACGGACCACGAGCTTGAGGTTAGTTAGTCTATTTATATAGGCAGAGCAACGAAAGCCTGTAAATATTATGAGCTCAATCGGTTGATGAATGCTCAATGGAGTGGTTAGTAGACCAGCTAAATAGTCAGGGTCATTAGGAGAGTACGTCACGGGGAATAAAAGGTTCCTGGCCATTAAGAGCGGGATGGAGATAGCTATTTCCAGTTAACCTGATGAGCCAAACTCATGAGTCTGAAAAAGGGTGAAACTGATAGCGAGCTGTCGATGGCAGCAACCTTAGGGTCATTAGGAGAGTACGTCACGGGGAATAAAAGGTTCCTGGCCATTAAGAGTGGGATGGAGATAGCTATTTCCAGTTAACCTGATGAGCCAAACTCATGAGTCTGAAAAAGGGTGAAACTGATAGCGAGCTGTCGATGGGTTTTCAGCAACCTTATGAGTAGTTTGCTAAATCTCGAATGTCACATCAACTGTAACGTGAGGCGAACTTCGTGCTGAAGCTCTCTCAAACAGAGAATAGCATGAACGAGGGACTTGGCTGGGATTTTGATGAGTATATTTCGTTGACGTGACATAAGTTGGGATTAAAGTAGAACATGAAGTTGATGGAAACTTGGGGACTGTGCCCACCTGCTGAGCCACAAGAAGGGCAAAACCGGTAGTGAGTTGTCGAGGCGCTTTTAGTTACCTTGGGATTAGTGTCCGTTAGGCAAAACTAGGCTGATTTTAATACTACAGTAAAAACCACAGGAGTGCCTGCTTCAATCAATGAGACTCTGCGAGAAAATTTGACATTAAAGTCCCGTATTTGCTTTTCGAAAAGAGGCTTCTCTCCAGAAGAAGTCCTCTGGCTACGTCCCACAAGCAGTCCTGTTGTGGGTCCACCTTATCAAAGCCTACTAACTGATAGTTAGCTCCTCAGAATATCACTGTTGAAGTACGCCATGGGTAAACAGTCATGAAGAATAAGACCAAACAACTTGTGACGGTCAGCAGGTAATGTATGTAGATGTCATCATTAAAAGACCCCAAAAGAATCAGTTTTGGAGTAAAGGGAGGCGAAATTTCGTTCGGTCTGGTCCCCAAAATCAGCTCTTGCTTGCTCCCGTTCCACTCGCGGCCAGTGAGAACACAACTTGGTTTTCGTCTGCAATCCGCGATAGGTAGTACGAAGAGGCCTGGGAAAGACGGACCAGTCGTACTGTTCATCAGTTGAATTTATGCTTTCGGAGCATGTCTATGGCCTGGTCAATCCCTCTTGCTTGTCTAAGAATCAATGACCGTTGGAGTGATAACACAACTCGTCGCTACTGGCCGATGAGAATATGACGCTTTGCAGTCAGGTGCGAAGTGCACAGTCAACTGCCGACCCTACACTACTGGCCAAACTACCGCTCAATCAAGCTAGGACTTCTTCGATTCAGCCCCTGAAGATCGATGGGTTCACGCACGTTCTATAACCAGGACAGTAGTAACCACCCGGGCCCAGTACTAAGGCCCATCTTGACTTCGCTACAGAGCATTACATTGTGCGTATGTTCGTTTTCCAAAGCTCACAATGCATCGATCTACTCAATTAGCTGTTGCACGTCAACTAATTACCGCTTTCTAATGCTATTCAAACAGCCTACAAGGGCCCAGTTTTCAGGACGAGCTGGCCAAGCTGGGAGGAATAAGCTCAAAAGATGTGAACGTTTGAGATTGAACATTCCATGAAGGAATGACTAGCTTATACTCTTAATCCTGCCCTGTACAGAAGCAGTTGTTGCCTCCTTACTCTTAGCACTCTTCGGTCATATCAGAGCGTTAACAGTATGCCGATACAGTTGAACCACCCGTATATGTTGTGGAAGATGCCTTGATGATCCGAAGTCACCGCTACGCTCCTTCGTTTCCAGACTGTTCTCTTATTAAGTGTTGTATGACAGGCACAGATGTTCACTAATGCAACAGTGTTGTTCAAGGAGCTTATTGGAGCACACTGCCGTGTTCCCACAAAGCCTTTCTGAGTCGGATTTCAAACTCATGAGTGGTATCTACACAAACTATACTAGAGCAAACGAACTTTGGTACAGCTGTACTGGATACCTGGCTAAAAGTGTTTGAATTAGAGTGGACTGCCGCTTAATCTCTGGAGCTTTGCTTAGTGAAACTAGAGGCTAAATAAACCTCCATGTTGTTTGGAGTGCCACTTCTGCTGGGAGTAAAATCCCACCACCTAAATCACCCTAAAGAAGTGGGAATAGCAATGCTAATGACAGATATAATTCACATCCCATTATGCATTATTGATTCTAGTAAGCCAACAGCATAGGATGAGACACTTGATAAAATAACCAGTCAGCTGTAACACCTTTCCGGTGCCTAGCACCCAAAGGAAGCACGAGGGCTGGGATACTGCCAGGTTGCCCAAAGCTAAACAGGGGAAGTCGAGAGGCAGAGGTCAGGTTCGAACCACGAACCTTCCGGTCAAAAAATTCGCGCTCTAACCACTTGAGTCATCTCGCTCGGCTGGAGATCAGATATAGTGAATGTCCATTTCTTCCTTATCAGCTTCTCCAAACAGCTGTTGTGTTCACGGAACGCGGTGTCTCAGTAGTATAGACAAGATAAGTCTGCTCAATATAATGCTGTCCATTACCAGTCAGTTTGTTTTCAAAATCTTGTGTTCCCCTCTTGCCAGGTTGTCCAAGCAGTCAGGGTGCAGAGGTGTGGTCCGAACCTAAGGGGTAGTAAGTTCACTCATTAATTATTGAGCTATATCGAACTCAGTATCCTGTTAAGGTAGACTATTGAGCCAATCTACAAGAATGATACTCGCGATTAATCTAGACAACCGCACGATAGGGGGTGAGACAAAAGCCAGGAATTCAAACAAATTTTTCCATTTTCTGACTGGTAAAAACAATACTGTTTCTCGGCTCTGGAGTTCATATTTTACTAAATTGATGGATTAGGTGCCACGAAAGCACGACTGGATAGCAAATAACACTGGGTAACAAAAGCGCCTCAGGTTCGTTGTACGTAGCAAAAACAATGTCTGGCCTGTACCTTACTGTTGTACCTAGCAGATTTTGTCTCCGCTCCAAAGCCTTAGTGTCGGAAAAAGGCTCGCCAAGAAGGAACACAACAGCTTTATCGCAAACAAGGGAACGCAAAGTTACAAAGGGCCTCACGCTATTTAAAGGGCATTTTAGGCATTGACTCAGAATATCTGATCGGCGTTTAGTGGAAATCTATTATCATCGACCGTGCTTCTGTGACATGTCTGAACACTAATCATCGTTGTTGGTGCTTCTGTGGTGTGCCTGAACACTCGTCGGTCGTTGCTGAATCGATTGGTTGATTGACTACTTGACTGACCAGCCTGGATGCTCGTCACTTTCCTTTTGAAAGTTTGGTGGAGTTTGAGTTTCTCAGAAGGTTTTGAGTATTCTGAGACTAGTTTCAGGAATCTGACCTTCCTGGAACTTACGATCCTCTTCCACCATAACATGTTAATAACTGTGCGATTTTGGACTGCGGTCCTTCGTATCACAGCACAAGGCGTCCAATATGTACTTCACTCAGTGTTTTCAACCAACATCACTAAAAAAATGCGCTTGCTACAACTGAAAATACTGATAATGACGCGCTGCTGTAGCCTGGAAAATCTAGGCAGAACGAGGCAACGACCAAGTTACGATCAGTTCTGTCTGTCTGTCTGTCTGTCTGTCTGTCTGTCTGTCTGTCTGTCTGTCTGTCTGTCTGTCTGTCTGTCTGT